CGCTGAGTGGTGACCTTGTCATGCAACCGTACAGCAATGCCTCCATCGCCTCCGCCTGGAGCAGGCGGATCTTGAGTCGGAATGGCGCTTGCTTGCGGTCTGTCGAAGAGCTCCCGGCCATATCGCTTCAGGCACGCCCACGCTCCTCTGCTCCTGTAGTTGATCTCCCGGGCGAGGTTGCCATGTTCGTTGACGAGGCCACCGAGGTACCGGAACTCGGTCGTCTGGGCGTATTTTTGTCCCTCGGCTTCGATGGGCAGCGGTGGAGGCGGGGTGGGCTGTGATGTTGTAGTCGGCTTGTTCTTTGCGCGCATCAGGAGCGTCTCTGTCTTCTTCTCCGATACGTTAGCCTGATCTCCCTGAACACCTCAACGATGATGGTCATCATTCTCGCCAGTCCTTCTGCAGACCTCGATACGACGCCGGCATCATCGGCATACAGCATCCCCCATACTGCCCTCCGTACTCGGTCAAGGGGTGTCTCCTCCCCCCCCCCCGCTTCCGTCTTCCCCTCCTCCAAGCACACCAGGCTCCGCAGAACAACATCATCCTCGCTGAATCGGATGACAACGACCTCGAGGACCTCGGCGAAGAAGATGTTGAACAGCAGTGGGGATAGCACACATCCTTGTCGCACGCCCTGTGTCACGAAGAACCAGTCCGATAGTTCTCCGTCGTCCATGCGCACCCGGGCCCGCATTCCATCGTGGAATTGGCGGATGACTTCGATCAGTTTCGCGGGAATCCCGGCCCTGGCCAGCACCTTCCATAGCATTTCTCGGTCCACCGAATCATAATATACGCCTTGTTCAAGTCGACGAAGCACATGTAGAGCGACATTTTCTTTCTCCGCCAGGTACAAAGGTGCAGGCGCGGGCCTCCAGGCCGTCGGTGTAGGCAGCAATGCCCATCTCATCTTTGTGCGCGGAGGCAGACGTCATCAGAAAGGTGGATAGGCACTATGTACACGGCCCTGGGTTTGCTAGAGGGAGCTGTACTGTCTTAGTAACCTGGTTTTGCCATCAAAGGAGGAGGGGACAGGTGTTGGTGACGAGCTGATTGGGCTGGTTGTTCCTTCGGCGCGAGAATTTTTAGACCAAGAACCCTAGTAAGTGCAACGAGGGAGCAAGCGAGGAACCGACTGGTTAGGACAGCAACGAGAGCGTGTACGAAGCGGAGCGGGTCGAATTTGGTCGTGCTAGGACTGGCCACAGCGGCACCGGAGCAGCGGCACCGGCGCAGGCGGACGGCATCGAACCGTGGCGCACGGACAAACATCTCTTGTGTTGTCAATTACTTCGCCGTTGTTTCCTGAATACAGGTGTCGGGTGTGTGATAACGTCACTAGTTTTGTAGAGACACGTGGCAGAGATGGCGCGGATAACCCGAGTGCCTTAATTGTGTACCTGCATCGTGGAAGACCCCTTCAATGTGGAACGATTCCTAGGCAGTGTCGATGTTTACACTGCTGTGCCTAACACAGATGATCTGGATAGATTCGGGTGATTGTCAATTGCAATGATGGCTTTGGTTGGGTGTTCTTCTTCATTGTATGTCCACGGACTCATTCTGACAGCACTTCAGACAGCAGCTGCATGCCCCGAGCTTGTGTACCATGCACCATGGTGTTATTATTGGACAGACAGCACTTCAGACAGCAGTACACTGTAGTCGACGAACATTCCTTTTGATTAAATGCGGGGCAAGGGGGTGATGCTGCTGCTGTAGTCGATTTGTAGTGTGTGGGCGTGTAGTTCAGTTGTGAGCATGCAAACGTGCTGCAGGGATTGCAGGTGTACCTCCTCGGGCTTTGTTTGTCGGCCGTACTCCGCGTACTTATCGGGACTTGTTTGTGTAGTGTATTAACTTCAGACGGTGAGACAACGCCCGTACCCAGGACGCTGTTGTGCTCGGAAAGGAGGAGGAGAGAGAGAGAGAGAGAGAGAGAGTAGCAGCACGGCTGCTGCACTCAACTAAGGGGGTCCCGGTGCTTCATCACCGTACCCCAACCTTAAAGGTTCTACACCATCTGCGTCACACTTGTACGTACGGGTAATGTATCCACCATGTCCGTAGACCCACGAACACCCTCCCTG